CACAATGGGCCACTTCAGAGGGTGCAGGAAGCAACAAAGCTCAATGCGGAAACCAGGGATCCCCCCAGCCAGGATCCCCGAGATCACAAAGAGCAACCTTCACAGCATAACATTACACCCAGCAGGCAGTCGGTGAGAGGCCCTTCAGGAAGGTACCTTAAGGGGGGAGCTTGAGAAATTGAATTTGAAGGTCCGTTGAGGAAGGCTTCGAAGCCCCCTTAAGGTGCCTTCGAAGCCTTCGAAGCTCCCTCAAGGTACCTTCAAAGGCTTCAGCCAAGGCTTCAACGCTCGAAGCCACCTTAAGGTACCTTAAGGGAGCTTTCGAAGGCTTCGAAGGCACCTTAAGGGGGCTTCGAAGAATTCGTCCAAGCCCGCTTAAGATACCTTCGAAGTCTTCGGCGAAGACCCCTTAAGGTACCTTCGTCGAAGCCCCCTTAATGTACCTTCGAAGGCTTCGAAGCCCCCTTAAGATACCTTCGAAGCCTTCGAAGCCCCCTTAAGGTACCTTAAGGGGGCTTCGGTTCCTCGTTCACCCCCCCCCTCCCCCCCGTCCCCCCCTTCGGCAAAGGCTCAAGGTTCCCTTCGTCGAAGCACCCTTAAGGTACCTTCGAAGGCTTCGTTCCTCTTTCACCCCCCCCCCTCACCCCCATCCGCCCCCCTTCGGCCAAAGGATTGAGGTAACCTTCGAGTCTTCGGCGAAGACCCCTTAGGTACCTTCGAAGGCTTCGAAGCCGCCTTAAGGTACGTTCGTCGAAGGCATGATCTAAAATCTAATTCGCTTGCCTTCCACAATGCCATGATCTAAAATCTAACTCTTTATTTAAACTTCCACCCCCTTCTTGCCTTCCACAGTGCCATGATCTAAATTCTAACTCTTTATTAAAATTTTCCTTCCACAATGCCATGATCTAAAATCGAACTCTTTATTTAAACTTCTCCCCTTGCCTTCCACAATGCCACGATCTAAATTCCAACTCTTTATTTACACTTCCTCCCCTGCCTTCCACAATGCCATGATCCAAAGTCAAACACTTTATTTAAACTTCCCTCCGCTTGCCTTCCACAATGCCATGATCTAAAATCCAACTCTTGTTTTTTAAAACTTGAATCTAAAATCTGACTTTTTATGAACTTCCCCCTCCCTTGCCTTCCACAATGCCATGATCTAAAAATCTACTGTTTATTTATAGTTCCACTCTTGCCTTCCACAATGGCATGATCTAAAATCGAACTCTTCAAAATTTCCCCCCTGCCTTCCACCATGCCATGGTCTAAAATCTAACTTAAACTTCCCCCCGCTTGCCTTCCACAATGCCATGATCTAAATTCCAACTCTTTGTTTCAATTTCATCCCCGTGCCTTCCACAATGCCATGATCTAAAATCTAACTCTTTATCTAAACTTCCCCCTCCTTGCCTTCGACAATGCCATGATCTAAATTCTAACTCTTTATTTCAACTTCCCCCCGCTTGCCTTCCACAATGCCATGATCTAAATTCCAACTCTTTATTTGAACTTCCCCCCCTGCCCTCCACAATGCCATGAAGTAAAATCTAACTCTTTATTTGCACTTCCTCCCCTGCCTTCCACAATGCCATGATCTAAAGTCCAACTCTTTATTTACACTTCGCCCTCTTGCCTTCCACAATGCCATGGTCTAAAATCCAACTCTTGTTTTTAAAACTTTGATCTAAAATCTGACTTTTTATGAACTTTCCCCTCCCTTGCCTTCCACAATGCCATGATCTAAAATCTAACTCTTTGTTTATAGTTCCACTCTTGCCTTCCCCAATGGCATGATCTAAAATCGAACTCTTCAGTTCCCCCCTTGCCTTCCACAATGCCTGATCTAAATTCCAACTCTTTATTTAAATTTCCCCCTTGCCTTCCACCATGCCATGGTCTAAAATCTAACTTAAACTTCCGCCCGCTTGCCTTCCACATGCCATGATCTAAATTCGAACTCTTTGTTTCAATTTCATCCCCCTGCCTTCCACAATGCCATGATCTAAAATCTAACTCTTCATTTAAACTTCCCCCTCCTTGCCTTCCACAATGCCATGATCTAAATTCTAACTTTTATTTAAACTTCCTTCCTTGCCTTCCACAATACCATGATCTGAAATCTAATTCTCTTGCCTTCCACACGACTGCCCCCAGGCAGTCGGTGAGAGGCCCTTCAGGAAGGTACCTTAAGGGGGGAGCTTGAGAAATTGAATTTGAAGGTCCGTTGAGGAAGGCTTCGAAGCCCCCTTAAGGGGCCTTCGAAGCCTTCGAAGCTCCCTTAAGGTACCTTCAAAGGCTTCAGCCAAGGCTTCAACGCTCGAAGCCACCTTAAGGTACCTTAAGGGAGCTTCGAAGGCTTCGAAGGCACCTTAAGGGGGCTTCGAAGAATTCGTCCAAGCCCGCTTAAGATACCTTCGAAGTCTTCGGCGAAGACCCCTTAAGGTACCTTCGTCGAAGCCCCCTTAAGGGACCTTCGAAGGCTTCGAAGCCCCCTTAAGATACCTTCGAAGCCTTCGAAGCCCCCTTAAGGTACCTTAAGGGGGCTTCGGTTCCTCGTTCCCCCCCCCCCCCTCCCCCCCCGTCCCCCCTTCGGCAAAGGCTTAAGGTACCTTCGAAGGGGGCTTAAGGTACCTTCGCCGAAGGGTGCTCCACGACTGCCCCGATGTAAAGTGTGGAGTGCAGAGTGCAAAGTCTCAGGTGAGGAGTGAGGAGTGTAGAGTGTGGAGTGAGGAGTGTAATGTGTGGAGTGAGGAGTGTAAAGTGAAAGTGTGGAGTGTTTTTTCCTCGAGTATGGCCGATGTCGGTTCTTACATGAGCATAAGCAGTGAAAATGTCAATTTGTACAAGGACCTAAAAGGTCCGGAAATGCAGGCAAATCATAACAAACCAACCAACACACAGACCAGCCAGACGACCTGCAAATCCTCCAGCCAGACATGCATTTCGTCAAGAGAAACAACAAACCAGACACACAAAAGGGGCAGTGGTCTGACCACTGTATCACTCTCAAAAACATGCAAAAATGAATTGAGAACCACGACATTCAAGAATACTGCCTGTCCACTTTGGCGTAGATGTGCCGAAGCTGTACATGAGCATGGGTCTGCAAATGTGCCTCTCTCAGCGTCCTCTCAGATCAACTTGTACAGAAGGCCTCCATGGACGGGATCACCATCATCTTTCTCTGAGCAAGAATGTCGTGGTCATTGTACCAGGTACCTCTAGGCAAATCTCGCATAGACGAAGCATGCAAAAATATCTTCCGTCGTACAGATAGCATGAAGCCAGAAAATGCGATGACTCCATGCTTGGACAGCGAAAGCAAGCTGAAAATTGACATGACTACAAACAGCAGTTTCGCCATACCAACTTGACATTCGACAACGTAGCTCCAGTTGTTACAGGTTCGTTAAACGTGCCAACCGCAGAGGATGTCATCGTCCCTGAAAGACCTGCAGTGCATTGCAGTAGGCAAAGTAGACGTTCAGGCAGTCGGTGAGAGACCCTTCGGGAAGGTACCTTAAGGGGGGACCTTGAGAAATTGAATTTGAAGGTCCGTTGAGGAAGGCTTCGAAGCCCCCTTAAGGTGCCTTCGAAGCCTTCGAAGCTCCCTTAAGGTACCTTCAAAGGCTTCAGCCAAGGCTTCAAAGCTCGAAGCCACCTTAAGGTACCTTAAGGGAGCTTCGAAGGCTTCGAAGGCACCTTAAGGGGGCTTCGAAGTATTCGTCCAAGCCCCCTTAAGGTACCTTCGAAGGCTTCGGCGAAGACCCCTTAAGGTACCTTCGTCGAAGCCCCCTTAAGGTACCTTCGAAGGCTTCGAAGCCCCCTTAAGGTACCTTTGAAGGCTTTGAAGCCGTAGTAGTAGTAGTAGTAGTAGTAGTAGTAGTAGTAGTAGTAGTAGTAGTAGTAGTAGTAGTAGTCGTAGTAGTAGTAGTAGTAGTCGTAGTAGTAGTCGTAGTAGTAGTCGTAGTAGTAGTCGTAGTCGTAGTAGTAGTAGTCGTAGTAGTAGTAGTAGTAGCAGTAGTAGTAGGAGTAGTAGTAGTAGTCGTCATGGGCGGGCCGTCGTGGCCCAAGAGGGTTGCATTTCTAGTCACCGCGCCTGGTCCAGGTGGGTATGTTGGGTGCCGAAGCCGAAGCTGTTCGTATTTCTCGGCTTGTTGGCCTGGTTTGCTGTGAGTGTCACATTGCGATGTTTTTTTTTTGCAATTTACTTGGAACCATGGTTTTTCTTTTTCACGCTGACAACAATGTCTCAGAATTTTTTACACACACAACACGGAACGAAGCTGTTCGTATTTCTCGGCTTGTTGGCCTGGTTTGCTGTGAGTGTCACATTGCGATGTTTTTTTTGGCAATTTACTTGGAACCATGGTTTTTCTTTTTCACGCTGACAACAATGTCTCAGAATTTTTTACACACACAACACGGAACGAAGCTGTTTCTCGGCTTGTTGGCCTGGTTTGCTGTGAGTGTCACATTGCGATGTTTTTTTTTGGCAATTTACTTGGAACCATGGTTTTTCTTTTTCACGCTGACAACAATGTCTCAGAATTTTTTACACACACAACACGGAACGAAGCTGTTCGTATTTCTCGGCTTGTTGGCCTGGTTTGCTGTGAGTGTCACATTGCGACGTTTTTTTTTGCCAATTTACTTGGAACCATGGTTTTTCTTTTTCACGCTGACAACAATGTTTCAGAATTTTTTAGACACACAACACAGAACGGCTCCAAGGGGGCTTTTTCGGTTTTGTTGCGAAAGGTGTGGCTCACAGGTTTTCGCACTGTGCACAACATGGTCGGCAGTGGCGGGCCAAAGTGCCCTTGTGGCAGGTGGCTGTCTTCTCTTCGACGCCAGGACTTGGCTCGGCAGTGGCAGGCCTGGCTGGACGGACCAGACCGTGAGTCTCTTTCAATGCCCGTTTTGCTCGTGTGTGTTGGGGATCGTGTTTTCCTGTTTTTTGGACCTTCATTATTTGGTGCTTCTTTGCAGGAATGGGAGCACATCAAATGGCGGCAGCACGGAGGGCTGCGGTACTGGAATCTCTGCCTCGAATGCCACCGTCACGTGTGGGGCACCGACGGCCGGACTTCAAACCGGTACTGCCGGCCCCGCTGCCTGCCGTGCCCCCGGCTACCGGCCGGAGAACTCTTTGTCCGGGAACCCCCTCCTGAGCTGGCGCCCTGCTCGCATTTCTGTTTTCCGTGTTCCACCATGGGGTCGCCAACTGGAAACTTTTTTTAGAGTTTGCACGAATGAGATCCAGCTGTCCCTGGAAAGATCCCCCCATCAAAATCTTACACCAATAGACGTCGAACGTGAAACTTTGTAGTCGCTTTCTTTTAGATTTCCAATGGCGACTTGTGTCTGTGTGGACCACAGCATTTCTTGTTGCACACACTGTCCCAGCTTCGGTCAGGTGCCGCCTGCAGTTGTCGCGCCGCATCGGCCCCGCACGCGCTGCAAGCGTGCTCGACAGGCTTGGTTGCGTACTTTCTGGGTTCCATTTTCTTGCCCACCACGGCCGCCGCCGCCTGAGGACTTCGGGGTTGTACGAGTTCGACGGGAGGCGGATCCGGCTGCGGGACGGAGCCTCCTGCAGCGACAGAACACTGGCAGGCTGGGTCGGCGGCATAGCGGGGTGCTCCTTTGTTTGGCACTTTCACGCGGGTTCACAACATGCATCTCATAAGCGTGGTGTGTCGCCTTTTGTTTTAGATCAGAGCGAGTGTCACGTCTGCGTGATCATCCCTTGAACCTGACAAAGTCCATACAGCTTCTTCAGCAGGTTCCACATGTTGTTAGCCACTGCCACTCCCTTTCCACAGCTAAGAGTCCGGGTGTACGCTCTATGTTATTAGTCCTGTCGTAAGTCTGTGCGAATTCCCCTGTATCCATGTCCACGTGTTGTTTTCCTTTGTGGGGCCAGGAGTCTAAGAGTCCGGGTCTAGGGTACGTCGGCCCTGGTTGCAAATTTTTCCTATATTCATTTCCACGTGTTGTTTTCCTTTGTAGGGCCAGGAGTCCAAGAGCCCGGGTCTTGGGTACGTAGGCACTGGTTGTAAATTTGTCCCTACTTCGAGTTAGTTGCAACTGGTTGTACTGATTTGAAGGTTCGAGACTTAGCACTGACTCGTTATATTTATTGCAGGTTCGAGGGTTGGTTGTCCTGAGTTGTGAGGATTTCGCGCTACGATGCCAGGTTCTAGAAGTTCTAGGGTTGGGTGTACCTGGTTGTAACCATATGGAGCTAGGTCGAGAGTTCACGCTCTACATGTTGTGAACTCGTCCGTTGCTTCCGCGCGCCAGGAGTGTCACCTTGCCACCGGGGCCGCCGTTGCAGCGCGCCTTGCTGGAGTCGGCGCAGGACGTGCCAAGCCAGCGTGGTGCGTGGCAGGCTGCGCCGTTTGCCTGGGACGTGCGGCGCCGCCTTTTCCACGGGTTTTGTGGGGCCTGTGGCGAAGAGTCCTGGGACCTGCAGCAAATGCAGCTGCAGCGAGTCACTGTGCTCTACCGGCAGAAGGCCGGGCATGGGGTTGTGTTTTTCCGGGTACTATACACCATGACCATCTACACCTTCCGCATACTAGCATGTTCCTGATTTGACGTTCGACATATCTGGTTGTTAATCAATTACAGTTGGACCACAGATCATTGTGAGTCATGGTTACGGACCCACCACTCACTCATTTCACCGCATGTTGTTGACGCATGACTAAACTTTCAACCAGAGAGCAGAGGCCACAGTGATTTTTGAGTTTCACCATTTCCCTACCTAAATCATATTCATGCTTTCCGACCCACCATTCACTCACTTAACCACATGTTGTTGACACATGACTTGAATTCATCGAGAAACGACATTGATTTATTAGTTCCACCATGCCCGTACCTAATTTTTTTTGTGGACGGTGCCACCACCTTCTACAGCAAAGCTACACCTCACGCATGACCGTCCATGGCAGGATGTGGCCCTGTGCTGCAGCAGCTGTTTGCGACAGTTGCACGCTGGGCGCCACACCTGGGTGTACGAACTGGAGGCATGGTGCCTTCCCTTCTACCGCACTCGCTGAGCTGCATCCCGGGGAGGGTCCGGGTCAACAACCCCCCCCAACACGGGGGCCGCAGCGTGGGACACTGCGGCAGCATCCTTTCCAAGCCTGTCCAGGCCTGGATTGGGGGCTGATCGTCCTGGCAACAAGCCAAAGATCGGGAGAGCCGTGTGGGATTGCTTGACACTTTTGGTTTCTTTGTACCCACAACAGCAAAGAGGGAGACACCGAGAAGGCGTTCCTTGCTGCCTGGCGTGCCGTCGTGGGCCAAGAGGGTTACATGTCTAGGCACCGCGCCTACGTTGGGCTACATGGAATCTGACTTTTTATGAACTTTTCCCTCCCTTGCCTTCCACAATGCCATGATCTAAAACCTAACTCTTTGTTTATAGTTCCACTCTTGCCTTCCACAATGGCATGATCTAAAATCGAACTCTTCAGTTCCCCCCTTGCCTTCCACAATGCCTGATCTAAATTCCAACTCTTTATTTAAATTTCCCCCTTGCCTTCCACCATGCCATGGTCTAAAATCTAACTTAAAACTTCCCCCCGCTTGCCTTCCACAATGCCATGATCTAAATTCCAACTTTTTGTTTCAATTTCATCCCCCTGTCTTCCACAATGCCATGATCTAAAATCTAACTCTTTATTTAAACTTCCCCCTCCTTGCCTTCGACAATGCCATGATCTAAATTCTAACTTTTATTTAAACTTCCCCCCTTGCCTTCCACAATACCATGATCTGAAATCTAATTCTCTTGCCCTCCACACGACTGCCCCCAGGCAGTCGGTGAGAGGCCCTTCAGGAAGGTACCTTAAGGGGGGAGCTTGAGAAATTGAATTTGAAGGTCCGTTGAGGAAGGCTTCGAAGCCCCCTTAAGGTGCCTTCGAAGCCTTCGAAGCTCCCTTAAGGTACCTTCAAAGGCTTCAGCCAAGGCTTCAACGCTCGAAGCCACCTTAAGGTACCTTAAGGGAGCTTCGAAGGCTTCGAAGGCACCTTAAGGGGGCTTCGAAGAATTCGTCCAAGCCCCCTTAAGATACCTTCGAAGCTTCGGCGAAGACCCCTTAAGGTACCTTCGTCGAAGCCCCCTTAAGGTACCTTCGTACTTAAGCTTCCCCTCGCTCACCCCCCCCCCCCCCCCCCCCCCCCGTCCCCCCTTCGGCAAAGGCTTAAGGTACCTTCAAAGGGGGCTTAAGGTACCTTCGCCGAAGGGTGCTCCACGACTGCCCCTAGACGTTTGTAGTGCATCCAAACCCGTACCACTGCTCACCCACAGAGTAGGCAGGCTGCAGAGTCACCAATTCTCGTCCACCAACTAACGAACCATGGAGGCAGACTTGTGCTGCTCGGGCGCCCCAGACTGTCCTACCGGAGCACCACTAGATTGCTCTAGAGCCACCGGACAAAGGACATCCAAAACGAGACAAACGAATTCAGGTAGAAACCTCCTCGGAGAAGGGCAAAGCAAAGGAAGAAGGGCAAAAACAGGGGCCCTCGGGGACGCCAAAAGATTCCAGTCCTTAGTGAGCACTGCTGTTTCCTTGCCACTCAAACAACATCTGCATACACCCAAGGCACACCAAACTTTACTAAAACACTCTCGCAATCTTAGCTCCAGACGTCACACGCCCAAGTGAGGGAGATTGCATGAAGAGATGGAAGGTACCAACGAGCAAAGAACCAAGACACAACCTGGAAAGTGCGGAGTGTGAAGTGTCGAGTGTAAAGTAAGGAGTGTGTAGTGTGGAGTGTAAAGTGGAGTGTAAAGTGCAGAGTGAGGAGGCGGAGCTTCCTCCACAGACACGACGACGCCACAGAAAAATCAGCGACTTGAGATAAGGCACGTGGATGCAGAAAAACGAGCATTTCGTGCGCCAATTTTTGACATTTTCGACACGTTATCAAACAGGTTGGAATGTCTCAAAGTGCCACGCCTGCCACGCAAAACGACATGACAACCTACGTGGAAACATTCGAAAAGGTCAGGTTTTGCGTCTAAAGTGCTGCGCCTGAGCACTGGAACCCACTCAAGGCTGATGACAGACAAAGTCTGAGGGAACTCTGAGTGGCCCTGAGCGGCGTTAGTTTCTTTGTCGTGTTTCCCGAATGCGTAGCAAGGGTTCCCGTTTACTCTAGGGGGTCTGAAGGTTGAGAGTGTGTTCGCTCGACGTTGCGTTCACGGTCGCAACCGTTCGCAACCAAAAAAGAGTCTAGATTGAGACTGAAGGTTTGTGAAGTCATTGAGACTGAAGGTCTGTGAAGCAAGGCAACGGGGGAGGAATTTAAAGATGAAGTCTAGAGCAAGTCCCCCTGAATTGAGACAAGGGTGGTGGAATTTAAAGATGAAGTCCAGAGTGAGACTGAAGGTCTGTGAAACAAGGCACCAGGGGATTGAATTTAGAGATGAAGTCTACTACTACTACTACTACCACTACTACTATTACTGCTACTACTACCACGACTGCTACTGCTACTGCTACTACTACTGCTACTACTGCTGCTACTACTACTACTACTACCACTACGACTGCTACTGCTACTGCTGCTACTACTACTACTACTACCACCACTGCTACTACTACTACTACTACTTCTTCTACTACCACCACTACTACCCTCTTCAAGCCCCCTTCAAGCCCCCTTCAAGTCCCTTTCAAGCCCCTTTCAGCGCCTCTCCAAGCCCCCTTCAAGCCCCCTTCAAGCCCCCTTCCAGCCCCTTCAAGCCCCTTTCAAGCCCCCTTCAAGCTCCCTTCGTGACTTGGTTGCGTGGACGTGTTTTGTTAAGACCGACGTCCTGGACGCTGACTCAAGTAGATCTAGAGGTTTTCGAGGGTTGCTACCTTTCCGGAGCTGCCTGCTTGCTGCTCGTAGAGGTGTAGTGGGAATCGATCCAGGGAGCCAAGGCCTGGTATGGCTGAAAGAGGTGAGGAAATGATGGTTGTGGTAGCAGTGGATTGCCACCGACCTGTGCCTGGAACACCTAGTTAGCAGAGCAAGACAAAAGTCGTCCTCGTGGTGCAGTTGGTATCGCGGCACTCTTCTGTCAGATTGCCGGTGGTGGTTCGATTCCCCGCTGGTCCGCGAGTAAGACTCAAGACTGTAGACCGGCCGAAACGCAACGGGTCTACGGTCTTGAGTCTTGCTTGCAGACCAGCGGGGAATCGATCCACCACCGGCAATCTGTCAGCAACACAAGAGTGTCGCGATACCAACTGCACCACGAGGACGACTACCGCCTGGTTTCAAGAACACAATGCCAGATGCCTTTGCCGACAGCGGATCTAGTGGTGCAATGACCGATGCATCGAAGCGCAGAATTGAGGATGCAGAGTTTGAAGTTGACACAGAGTCAGATTGGGTGGTTGGAAGTAGTTTCATGGAGCCTGTGGGAGGCACCGAAGATTTGGCCACAAAGGCCTTGCTTCCAGCTGGTATTACCAATACGGCTATGTGGGGAAAGACCAAGTTTGCATTTGGAAAGTATGAGGAGGAGAAGACAAATTACCAGACTGTCTTCGAGAAAGATCCCAACTATGTCTCATGGTGTCGAAAGCATTTGACCAGAGACTCTTCGAAGGGTCCTGCCTTGGATTGGTCAAGGTACATCAAGGCCCGAGATTTGGTGGACTGCAAAGCGGCTAATGTGCCCTTTTATGCCGGAACTGCCTTACGTCGAGAGTTTTGTGATTGATGACACTGTGATGGTGGTTGGATCTATGAAGGATCTCATTCTATGTGGACAACTGCAGTTTGCAAGATTGTCGAACTGGATGGGTGGTCATTATGTAGCCCTTCGGCTAAGGGCATCCTTATGTATTGACCTGTCAAGTTTGGGCGATCTATGCTGAAGTCTGGATAAGTTACAGCTTTATACACCTTGATGGTGAGCGCAACCGTGATGGTTGACGTCGTTTTTGCATGTTTCATATGCTGCAGCTTTTATTGGAGATGGCGAAACCTTACAGCGATATGTTTTTCATCTTCTTTGACTATTTTGATTGCGGAGAATGCGGTGAGGCTTTGAATCCGTAGAATGAAATTAGGAAATCAATGCATTTTCCATATCCTTTCATCGATGAATAGCACGAAGAGCACGAAGAACTAGTTCGTAGAATTCATTTGGTTACTCCGGAAGAAGGAACTTTGTTTGGCGTTGATCGGAGAAGTTTAGTTTGATTTTGTCTCTCAATGATGAAAGCGAGCAACGTTCTGAAGGCATTCAGAACTGGAGTTGCTAACAAATCTGAGGGAGACATCATGGAACACGTTTTGGTGCTTGAAATGTTTCAACGTTTTTCAAACACTTAAACTTATTTGAACAAACAAACCATGTCTTGATGTAAAGACTTTTTGTGGCGACATGTGTTTTTGATCCTTTTTTTGTGAAGTTGACAGAAAGATGTCAACATGCGACTCCGCATCTGTTTTTGTGTCAAGGAGTGACACGTCAACAAGAACCATAGCGACATGAGCAGAGACATTTCTCTTGTCTTGTTTGTGTGCCGTAAAAGTAGCTGAGCTCTGGGATCGATTGACTTGGTTGCGTGGACGGTCTTTTGTTTTGTTAAGGATGACGTCCTGGACGCTGACCCAAGCAGGTCTAGAGGTTTTCGAGGGTTGCTACCCTTCCGCACCATGTGTGTCACTGAGAGACGTAAGGTTTGAAAGTTGTCCCTGTGCCAGAATTCTTTTGTGCACCATTTTGTCCTGTCATCTTTGATTTGCCTTAGCAGTGGCTCTCAGGGCCATAAAAGTGTCAGTGGCTCTTGGGCCATTAATTACTTGCCATGTGGCTCTTGTGGGCCATGTTGACCATGCAGTCTGCTTCGGCCTGTCCAGCACCTTAACCGAGACTGCCAACGATTCAATGCGCGCTCATGTTCGCCGTGTACAGTTTGCTGCAAGCAACAAAGTTGACACGGTGGATGGGCCAGCACAACTTGGACGAAAACCTGCCCAACCTAGCCCCGCAATTTCTGCACAGGACGGCGCAGTTTTTGCAAGAACATTGGCGATGCCG